ACAATATCCTGAAGGTATGTTTTGGCATAGAAAAGGTAATTTGGGGATAGGGAATAACAGGTTGCCTTACTGATTTAATTCTAAGTCTGGGTGTGGAAGTGTTTAAACACTCTTTTTGCAAACAGACTCAACATATTTATAGCTCATCACGTTTCTTCTTAAACGGCCACTTTGGGTGTTGCAATACGTGGTCTGCAGCCTGAAGGACAAGATACATAAATTCTTCTACATCGAAAGAGTAGTTGGTGAACTTTGGGTGCTCCCCCAGGGTTGGATGGTGACCCTGCGAAAACAAACCAAAACGCAGATACATAACTCACTGAGGGCATGGTTTTCTCTACAGCAGGAAAATTACGTTATTTGGCTAAGGCAACTAATTTATACTCTACATCAGAGACCAGCAAACTTTTTCTGTTAAGGGCCAGAGGATAAATATTTTCAGCTCTGCTGACTCTAAGATCTCAGTCACAGTTACTCAACTCTGTCACTAAAGTGCAAAAACAGCTAGGGACAATACATAAACACACAGGCATGACTATGCTTTCTTTACAAAAACATGTCATGGGCTGGATTTGCCCACAGGGCTGTAGCTTGTTGATCCCCTCTGTATATACTCTAATAGATCTTTCTAAGCTCAAACTCCATGAAGCTGCCTTTACAACATTAAAGATACAGGGTGCTTAATTCTCCTTTTTCTCCTACTTGCAAATATAAAATACAACAATTCACTATTCCAGAGAACAGTTTACCTTTGTAGCACTGAAGTTCAATGACCATTTTTCATTTCAATAATTGGATACTTCAAACCAATTAAAAATGAAGCAAGGTGAGTTTTGTGATTGAACTTTACCTTATCCTGAGGAAAGACTTTGTTCTGCCTTTGCCAAGTGATGTAGTGAACGCCTCTCAGCCTGGCCAAGTCTAAGTAACAGCGTTCATCTTCACAGTTGTACCTAAGGACACAAGGGTGTCACAACATGAGGCTTTTGTCCAAGGTTTTTGCCAAATCAACAACTCTCTGCGAACATAAAATGCATCTCCCAAATATGTCCTCGCAAAAGGCTGTAAACAAGACTGAGGAAGACAGTAAACAAGACTGAGGAAGAGAATTTAAAAATACTCTCTGAACTAATGAACTTCACTTTTAAAAAACAAAATAGGGTTACAGAATAGAGAAGACTGACCATATTCAATAGGACCTGCTGCCTACGGACTTGATACCACCTCATAATACCTCTGTCTTTAAATGTATGAAAGCGGCGAGGGGGGGTAGGTAACACTTTCAAGGTCATATAACTAAACCGTGAAGGATGAAAAAGTTGAACCCAGGTCCAAAGACTCTAAGGCTTGAGTTTTCTAAGTTATATTTCTCTCCCTTCCTTTCTCCTTTCTTCCATCCTTCCTTCTCTCTCTATCAGAGAAATAATAGAGATAGAATCCATTATCTGGCTATTTCTCTACATATACTGTATGTATTTTTGAAACATTTTGCAGGGCACTGGAAGTTCATGACTCTTTTCCTAAATAGCCTCCTATTTAAATACAGTCAAATCATTTTTAAAATGAAACAACAGAATCCAGATATTGAGACAGAATAGGGGGAAAGAGGTAACAGTAACTGCTATTTGTGTCTCAAGAACTAAAATGGAGCACAGTGTCAAGAGCAGAATTATTACGAGAGGGAAGGCCATGTCTTCACAAACCAACCACTGAGTTAAAGGTGTGGCCTGGGCAGATCATTTACACCCAAGGGCCTCAGTTTCCCTGTGCATGGGATCAGCAAACACTGAGTGAAGTGATTGGCTTGTGTTTTGGAGCTATGTTATACATGAGACATAAATGCTCTCTTTTAACACGATAACCATACTGCTTGCAAGAAGCAGCTCACAGTTTGGGAGGTATGCAGGAACAAACTCAGAATAAGGAAACCACAAATTCACATCTTCCCTATCATGCTGGGGATGGGAAGAAGATGGAGTAGTTTGCTTACTAAGTGCAATGGCAGGCTGCAGACTTTATATTTTTAGATTTGGAACTTTTTTCTTTCCAGATGTCTATATGATGTGACTTCTCTTTTTGAATGATTAAATATTAAGCCTTTTGATGCTCAGAATGAAAGCCTCAGCATGCATAAAAAGCATTATCAGCTGCTTCAGTGTAAAACTGCCCCCAAACACTTACAGTTCAAATACAGCAGCCCAGTCTGGAAGGAAAAGTAAATGGGTAAGACCAGCTCCATGCATTCCAATAAATATGTCCGTGTTGTGTGTGATCCTTAGTTGATCTAAAAACCCAAGTTCTCTGTAAACATACAGAATAACACAAGAGAGACAGGGAGAAGAGAGAAGTATCAGGTTGAGTTAGCTCATGATTCACAGTAAGGATATTTATAAAAGTATATTTCCCATTTAAAACCACATTCCATTTTTAAGAACCATTTTTGCCAATTTCAAGTGCACTCTAGTAATTAATACATTAATTTCTTAATAATTTAACCATTTTTTTTGAGACACAGTTTCACTTTGGTTGCCCAAGCTGGAGTGCAATGGCACAGTCTCAGCTCACTGCAACCTCCACCTCCCGGGTTCAAGCAATTCTCCTGCCTCAGCATCCTGAGTAGCTGGGATTATAGGCGTGCACCATCACGCCGAGCTAATTTTTTGTATTTTTAGTAGAAATGGGATTTCACCATGTTAGCCAGGCTGGTCTTGAACTCCTGACCTCAGGTGATCTGCCCGCCTCCACCTCCCAAAGTGCTGGGATTACAGGCGTGAGTCACTGCACCTGGCCAATAATGTAACATATTTTCTAAGTAAGCTCACCTATCCTTTTAGGCTTAAGTACATTTATTTTTAAAGAAAACTTTAAATGGAAAATCAGAGACACATGACATCAACAAAATTGTGAAAATTGATATAATCAAACTAAGTAGTATGCAAATCGAGGTATATACTATTGCAAGACAAAGCTCGGAGCTGGAAACCTGCTCTCTCTTCATGAAAAAGAGAAATTAGCAAGTGTTAAAGAGATGTTGTGACACACTAGCACTAAATTAAAAACTATTTCCTTAGGATAATAAAAGGATTTTTAAAAATTTTCTCCTAGTGTGATATAAGTTTTTTAATGCCATCTGGGTACACCCAAAATGATCTCGGATACCAGCAGGGCACTATCCTGCCTTTGCCAAAGACAAATCCACAGTTTTATGCATGTTAGGATTATATAAGTGTTCTCCAAATCCAAGACACTGACAGATGTGTAAACTTTCAACCAGAAATCAGTCCCAAAACAGTTCACTGAGGTGAAGCTAGGGAGAAATGCTAGAATAAGGGTGACACTCTGAATAAACAGAAAGAAATGAGATCTTTCAGTCCCACTTTACCCAAAGTAAAGAAAAATAAATGATCACGATTATTTTGGATCTAAGAAAGGAAGGTGAATTCCCTTTTATACCAGCTAACAACAAAAACTCTGCATAGGAAAAGGAAGACAGCTCTGTGCGTATGTGAATCGCACCGAGAACATGTGCCTCAGTTTCTCCAGGAATGTGAACTGATGCCAAGGGAAGGACAGCCATTCGCCCAGGTGAACATACCCCTGGAGCTGCCAACTATGGAAACGCCTGTGGTCAGCGCTCACCAATCCCCACACTAACATGTTACTAACATTTCCCACAGACTGGCAACTTATGAATGTATTGTCATTCTGGTTTATCTAAGAAACTCCAACACATCCTTAAAAGCCAGTCAATAATACAGCTTCAGAGGTGCCCTCCCCAGTTCTTTCCATTCCTTCCCAGCCTCATCTCAGTGAACGGTTTTGGGACTGATGTGGGAGTCCCGTCTTGGCTCACTCATTTCTTTATGCAACACTGAAGGTGGCCAGTGCAGCAGAGTATAATCTGTAAAATGGGACGAGCTGTGCCAACCCAGAAGACTGTTGAAAGCACGGGATGAGATAAAGCAAGTAAGCATCAATGTACGTCTCAATAAATAGTAGCTGTTTTTACGATTGCTATTTATCTCTATTCAGTGTCTGAGATCCCCAAGATGAGAGCTATGCCATCCTCCATAATGGGATTCCTACTGCTGAGCCTGGTGACCAGCTCATGGGTCCCCAGTTTAGAGATTTATTGCACAAATGAATTAATGTATGATGAATGAAGTGCAAAGCTCCCATGCTTACATTCTCCTAAATTAAATTTATCTATATTAGATACCCACATGCTGGGATATATATACTTATTTTATCATATATACTTTAAGTTCTGGGGTGCATGTGCAGAACGTGCAGGTTTGTTACACAGGTATACACTTGCCATGGTGGTTTGCTGCACCCATCAACCTGTCATCCACATTAGATATTTCTCCTACTGCTGGGATATGTATACTTCCTTTAACTGAAAAGCATTCTCAGTCTTAGATTTTGAAAACACAGCTGTGATTGTGGGTGGACATGGAGGGAAAAGTGAAACTTTTCCTTCTGATCTTTTCTATACTGCTTGATTTTTTCAACCAGAAGCATGTACTACTTTTACTAGGAAGATGGAATTCTAGCAACAGAAATTACCCAGGCTGTGAATAATAGACATATTCTGTCTTTCTAAGCCTTTTAGTTGTATTAGAGTTTTAAAAGAAATGTAAACATTTTATATGATTTTTTAAAAATCTCAAGTTATTCTGACCCTCAAACTACCCCCATATACATAATTTTAAGTCAGATGTTGAAATCTGGCAGTTAGGAGGGCAAACTAGTTGCCTTTTTTTTTTTTTTTTTGATGGAGTCTTACTCTTTCATCAGGCTGGAATGCAGTGGCACGATCTGGGCTCACTGCAACCACCGCCTCCCGGGTTCAAGCCATTCTCCTGCCTCAGCCTGCTGAATAGCTGGGACTACAGGCACACACTGCCATGCCTGGCCAATTTTTTGTATTTTTTAGTAGAGACAGAGTTTCACCGTGTTGCCCAGGCTGGTCTTGGACTCCTGAGCTCAGGCAATTCACCTGCCTTGGCCTCCCAAAGCGCTAGGATTACAAGCATGAGCCACCACGTCCAGCCTGTCAATTTTTTTAAACTTCTGAAATTTAAGGCTGGGTGCAGAGGCACATTCCTGTAATCGCACCACTATGAGAGGCAGAGCCAGGCAGATTACTTGAGGTCAGGACTTCAAGACCAGCCTGGCCAACATGGTGAAACCTCATCTCTACTAAAAATACAAAAATTAGCCAGACATGGTGGTATATGCCTGTAGTCCCAGCTAGTTGGGAAGCAGAGGCAGAAGAACTGCTTGAACCCAGGAGGCGGAGGTTGCAGTGAGCCGAGATGGTGCCACTGTATTCCTGCCTAGGTGATAGAGCAAGACTCTTTCCCCTCCAAAAAAAAAAAAAAAAAAGCTCTGAAATTGTAAATGGAAATCTGAATTCATCACTTCTTTTGAGTAACATGGAGTCACAACAGCAGGCCCCAGAAAGCTGAAGAGTAACTGCCCCTGTTCCCAGGGCCCTCACCTGCCCGTTTCATTCATTTATAGTGTCTGCTTAGCCCTTCTGAGCCTACAAATACCAACAGTTCCCACTGGGAAAAATGCTTTCTCGCCCCCTTGACCTCAACCAAGCAAAAGCTGACCATGTCTGCCGGGATTAGCTATTACTTACTTATACTTGTAATCAACAATCTGGACTTCAAATGTAGATACTGTTTTCAGTGCATTTACAAGCTGGGAAAAAAAGAGAAACATTTAGCATTTCTTTTCCTTCTTTCCCTTCTGTTTTACTCTCCTTTATGAGTCCTAAAATTTATTTTTTTGCATGTAATATTTCAGATATTAAATATCATTTGGCAACAACCACAAATAAAAAGAAAATAAATAAGTAAATATCATTTGGGTCAATCATTTGGAACAGTCACTAAGTTCAAATCCAGGCTTCACCTGTGAAGACATGACTCCACCTCCCTTAGATACCAACACGCTGTGTTGTTGTGAGGCTGAAAGGCGAAAATTCATGGAAGCCAAGTGCTAAGCACAGAAATACACTAACCATGAACTGCTGTTATTACCATTTGCTTATTATTCCCTCAACTTTCTTTATTCTTATTTTTATTTTTTTAGAGATGGGGTTTCACTATGTTGGCCAGGATGGTCTCGATCTCCTGACCTTGTGATCTGCCCATACATTTTTGGGTACCAGAATACCCAAAATGTTCCAGACTTTACCTTCAGAGTTTTTGTTTCACCCATTATCTCATTTCAGACAACCCACTAGCACTTTGAACCTCATCCTCTGAAAATACTAAGGTCTTGGCAGAAAAACATTTTCAGTACTTCTACCTAGTAAAACAATTATTCTGGCCAGGTGTGGTGGCTCACACCTATAATCCCAGCACTTTGGGAGGCCAAGGCAGGCGGATCACCTAAAGTCAGGAGTTGGAAACCAGCTTGCCAACATG